GTGCCACCGGAGACCAGTCCCTGCTGACCTGGAGTGTGGCTCTGGGGGACCCCCAGGCCCACTGGCTGTCCCCAGGGGACCTGGAGTTTGAGGTGCTCTACAGACGGCTCCACGACTCATGGGAGGTAGGAACCACAGCCAGCCCCACCCAACCCAGAGGGACGCGCCCAGTGGCCCCCCGGCCAACACCCCTTCTTCTGGCAGGACGCCACCACCATCTACTCCAACTCCTCCCAGGCAGTCCTAGGACCGGAGCACCTCATGCCCCACAGCACCTACGTGGCCCGAGTGCGGACCCGGCTGGCCCCGGGCTCAGAGTTCTCAGGGAAGCCCAGCAAGTGGAGCCCAGAGCTGAGCTGGGACTCCCAGCCAGGTAATGTAGTCAGAGTCTAGAGGCCCCCAGAGGAGGGCCTGTCAGGAGCTCCCCGGGCAGTGGAATCCAGAGCTCGCTCTGCTGGGTTCTAGAACCCACGGCTCCATGTTCTCCAACAGCCTCCCTGGGCGACCCTACCCACTGGGATCGCTGCACCGCGAATCTGGGTCTTGTTTTCTGCATACTCGTGCAAGTAGCCAGCTCAGCGATAGTACAACGCTCCTGGCAACTGGGCGTCCATGGTGCAGGGCCGGCTGTGCTCAGGCCTGGGCACTGCCACCTCAGTGTCCTCATTCCTCAGGGGAGGCTGTGCAGGTTCGCAGCGCTCGCTGAGCCCTGCACCCATCTGGCAGGGGCAGGCTGAGGTTCACACCCTGGTCCTTCTGACCCGAAAGCCCAGTCTCTGTGACGTGTCACACGGTGGGTGCCCATCGTGGAATGGATGACAGAGGGAGTGAATGAGGGACTGTCTGCACCCAGGGGACGCCGCCCAGCCCCAGAACCTGCAGTGCTTCTTCAACGGGGTCGACGCACTCAGCTGCTCCTGGGAGGTGAGGTCGGAGGTGACCAGCTCAGTCTCCTTCGGCCTCTCCTACACGTCCAGTGCCAATGCAGGGTGAGCGCCTCCTCTCTCCGTCCCCTCCGTCCTCTTGGTCGTGCTCTCCCCAAGCCCTCTGCTGTTCCTGGGGTCCCCAGAAAAAGCCACAGCTCCTTCCAAGCTCTCCTCTTTGCCGAGGTCCCTGTCTCCTCCTTTCCCTCAGCTCAGCTGTGCTCCTCAGGGAGGAAGAATGCTCCCCAGTGTGGAAGGAGGAAGTCAGCAGCCGCTACACCCGGTACCGATGCCAGATCCCAGTGCCTGACCCCGAGACCCACGGCCAGTACTCCGTCTCTGTTCAGCCACGGAGGGAAGAGAAGATGATAAGGAGCTGGATGAACAGTGAGTTCGCGCCCAGCCTCCTGTGCGTGTGGCTGTGGAACAGCACGGTTTCATTGAGTACCTCTCATCAACTCCGGGTCCTCGGGTTTATCCATTTGAAAGAAATGTGGTCCGTGAACATTGGAGAGTACAAGTACCCTGACTGCTTCTTAAAATTTTATATACAATGCAACAGCCGAAAGTGCAAGGGTACAGTGGGTAATCCCCAGAGACAGGTCCCCACAGCCTCTGGTTCCTCACTGCTTCTGTTCTGCTTTCTTCCCCAAACGTGTGGAGAGGAGCTTCTGCAAAGCTCCTGCAGCCCGCACCCTCCTGGTCCTCCCGCTGACTTTCCCCTCATTCCCTAATTGTGCTTTTCTCTTTCTGCCTTTCAAAATTCCCCCAATGAATATTCTATCTTCAGACTAGTTGACCTCTATTTTTTTCTCATCTGGGGACTTGTGTGTATGCAAATAGATGGTAGATCCGTGCAGGCTAGCGCCCCATTCCTGGTAGAGCCTCCTGAGTTGTTTCCTGTTGACCGAGTCCTCCCGCTCACCAGTGCATGCCAAAGGCAGCTGCTCCTCTGTCTTAGTCACCTGGGTTTGAACTGACCTCACTAGGATAGGGGTTTCCTAGAGGATGAATCAGAAAATATGTAAATGACCTGGTGTGATGAGAGACCTCAATAAATGACAGGCATTACTGGGACCAGCAGGTGGCATAGTAGCTAAGGCATTAGACTTCCACATGGCTGACCATAGTTCGGGTCCTAGACCTGGAGGCTTGAACATCATGCTGGGCACACGTGCATGTGTGACCAAAATCCCAGGAGGAGAAGAGATTGTGGCATGGCCATCCCCTCTTGGGGGTGATTTCTCACTTTCCCTCTCCCTGTTTCTCTCTGGCAGGCACACACACCCTATGGCAAAAACCTTAAAACCCCAAGTTTTGGGTTGTTGGAAAAGTCAGGACACATTTTTTTTATAGAAAACACAGACAAAAATGCCATGACTTGGGACCAGCAATTAAGGTAATGACTATGTCGCTGAACTCCCATGTAGTCAACCACGGTTTGAATCCCGGACCCAGTAGCTTAAAACTCATGCCGGCCGCATGTGTGTGCGTGCCCAAGATCCTGAGAGGAGAACGGAGGAGAAGGGATTGCTGCGTGGCCATCCCCCCAGGGGGTGATTTCTCGCTTTCTTTCTCTCTCTCTCTGTCTGTCTGGCAAGTGCACATGCCCTATAGCAAAAACCTCTCAAAAAAAAAAAAAAAAATGACTTTTCTGGTGATTTAACATTATAGATATTACTTTTACAGAAGTTATGTGAGGCTACCATGGTTGTGGGCATTCCTTTCTCTCTGATGGGTAGACAGAAGCTCAGGGTGTTTGAATGACTTACTTAAAGTTGCAGTTAGAGGAGGTAAGTCAAGGCTGGAATCCAGAAGTCCTGACCCATCCCCTTCTGCATCCTCCACCTCTGGCCTCTTCCAACTTCGGGAGCTGCTAGCCGAGCACAGGGCACTATCGGCCAGGGGTCTCACCTCCATCTGGCCACCACCTGGCTGGCATCTAGGCTCACCTCCATGCCAGAGAAGGCTTTTAGAACTGGAGCACCGGGGACTTCCTGGTGGCAAGACCCTGTGAGCTGGTGGGGCCCTCGGACTCTCCCTTCACGCCTGGAGGTGTGGAGGGAGGAAGCCAAGGTCGACCTCCATCTCAGAGCCTCGGAGGCAGCGAGGAGGAGTGACGGAGCCAAGGGCTATGGAGTCACGCTCTTGTGATCTTTGCCTCTGCTCCTGCTTCACTGACTGTCCTGGGGCAAGTTGTAGACCCACTCCGTGACTCGATTTCCCCATCTGTAAAGTGTGAAGGTGACCGTAGCGACTACGTAAGGGTGCCACTAGGACTGATGAAGCAGGCCTGACAGTGCCTAGAACACAGCGTCCATGTTCTAGAACAGAGCCACATAACGGTGGTTTTATTTTTACTTCAAAAACTAAGAGTGGGCTGGCCCCATGGCCTAGCGGTTGAGAGAGCTGGAGCCCACATGGCAAACCACAGTTCAAATCCTGGTCCTGGCAGCTTTAAAACCATGCCGGGCGAGTGTTCATGGATGCCCCAGGTCTCGACAGGAGGGAGAGATGGACAAAGAAATTGTGGTGCGACTGTCCCCCACTGGAAGGTGCTTCCTCCCTCTTTCTCCCTCTCTGTCTCTCTGTCTCTCTGTCTCTTTCCAGCAGGCACATGCTTCCTAATAGCAACCCGAGCTTTGGGCCCCCTCAGTGCAAAACGAGTGTGTCTCAGGGTCTCCTGAGACAGCTGCTCGGGTTAGATGCTAAGGTGATGCGGGGAGGCACCGAGACCCCACGATGGGTAAGACCCAGAGTCTGGGACAGTGCCGACGGCACCTGTGGCCAGCCAAGCACACGGGGATGCTCCGTAGGCAGATAGTAGTCATGGCTGCCCCTGAAAGTCCCCCTCCCTCCAGTCCAGATGGCCCGACCAACCCTCAACGTGACCAAGGATGGAGACGGCTACAGCTTGCGCTGGGACAAGGCCAAGATGCAGTACAGTCACATACGCCACACCTTCGAGGTCCAGTACAGGAAGGATGCAGACTCGTGGGAGGTGAGGGCCTGGGCCCGGGGCACTGGGACGGCAGGTGGGCAGCGCTACTTGGGGGCTGTCTGCAATGGCTTCATCCCGATGTGGACTGAGGGGGGCAGACCTCACCCCTCTTTCACCCTGGGCCTCAGTTCTCTAGACAAACACCCAGAGGCGCTCCGGCTGCCAACCTGGGCCCTGCAGGTGACTGCTCAGAGAGAGGCGTAAGGACTCAGTGATCGTGACCCCATGTGGTCGTCAGGTCACTGTCCCACCTCCCGGTAAAGGAGCTAAGGCTTGGAGAGGGCTGTGACGTGGCCCAAATGAGTAGATGGCCCTGAACCGCAGGAGACATCGACCAACATGGGGAAGGGCTGGGACCATGGGGACGGAGGCTTCTCAAATTCCTGATGTCCTGGGGAGGTCACCCCAAGGACTCTCATCGGAACCCACATGTGTGGCCGCTCAGAACAGAGCTGCTCCTGAGGGAGTAGGTGGGCTCAGCCAGAACTCCGTCTTCTGCCCCCACCCCAGGCAGCCCTCGGGAACTGGGTGCAGAGCCTAGGGCCCCACAGCCCCCAACCTTCAGGTTGAAAATGGGGACAGTGAGGACGGGAGGGATGGGTCAGTGGTGGAGTAAGGAGTGCTCCGGGCTCTGGGCCTCCCAACACAGGGAGGCTAGTCGGCCTGTACTGCATTTCTGGGAATGCCAGTATTAGATCCAGGGTGAGAAGTCTCAAAACGAGGGGAGCCTGTGGTGCCTGCGGAGGGCGCCAGGCCTGCTGGTGTCACATGTGAAGGAGGGGTTGTAAGAGGTGGAGCCCCTAGCCCACCCAGGGTGTAGTTGGGGGTGTTGCTGGAGTTGGGGAGACTCCCTAGAGGGCCTGAGGGGCGCCGGGCCTGGGATGCAGCTGCAGCGAGGACTGCCGGGTCAGGAGGAAAGCTGGGTGTCCCGGTGAGACGGGGTTGCAGCTGTCCCCGTGGGTACCGGCCAGAGCTTGGCCTCGGCACACCTGCTGACCCAGGCGAACCCACAGGACAGCAAGACAGTGAGCCTGCGGGACGGCCACACCATGGCCCTGCCGGCCCTGGAGCCCTCCACCAAGTACTGGGCCAGGGTGAGGGTTAGGCCCACCCCCAACGACTACAACGGGATCTGGAGTGAGTGGAGTGAGGAGTGCACCTGGACCACAGAGTGGGGTATGTCTCCCCGGCCCCTACCCACCGCCTAGGACAGCCCAACTGGGCAGAAGTGGTGTGAACAGAGAGAAGAAAGAAAGGCCCCACCCCACTGGGTCTCCTTCCTGCTGTTTGTCACTTGCCACTGGGCAGAATGGCAAAGAGTGTTTCTCACTTTTTTCCTCCTTCGATCTGGGGCTTAGGTCTCTATTAATATGGCTTCTGGTTTCCCCAGTCTCTGTGGCAGCCAC